GATCTGTGTCCCCAGGGAGGATGCTGAGCTGCACCAGCAGGGAACACCCTCCATCCCAACCTTTGCAGGCTGACATTTTCTCCTTTTTATTATTTTGTTAAGTTTTCACTTTCTTCTTTATCCCCATATACAAGACCCCAGTCTAGGTGTGCTCTGCCTTACTCTTGGCTTCTAGCCAAGGAAGGAAAACTACCTCTGTTTTCAGCACCTACTATGTGCAGACTGCTCAGGGCTTAGCCACGCTTCACCCTGTGAAATCTTCCAGCGGCTTGAGGACATGTTGCTGTGACACGTGCAGCTGGGGACATGGATTTAGGCACTTCTCTGCTACTTTACCCTGCTGCTGAGCATAGAGCAGGGACTGGCTGCTTTTGACCTGGGTCCCCTAAACAGTGGGTGACCAGGCAAAAGTACACAGCAGCTTTGCCCTATCCTCCCTTTGCCCCTCTCAGATGGAGCCATGTGGCTGCCTCCAGATGGGGAAAGGGGGCTGGGGACTCTGGGATGACGGCCCAGCAGAGTGGCTGAAAACGTGTGCCCAGGGTGCAGGGTGGAGAGGCTGCCAGCTGAGGAGCTGACTCCCTGGGCTCTCCCTGGGTGCCAGGGGTGTCTGGTGAGCGTGACCACTCACATCACAGCCTGGGGTCTGTGGTCACTTCTGTTTCAGGAACTCCATCTGAGTGAAGATGTGGCAGGAGCTACCTTCATGGCTGCAGGAAGCTCAACCCCCGAGCTGTTTGCCTCTGTTATTGGTAAGAAATCCCACCAGCCCAAGACACAGGATCTGGAGAGAGCCCAGGTTTGGTGCCTTGACCAGTGAGGGCATTTGTCAGCTCTGAGCCTTCGGTTTCTCATCTGTAAAACGGGAGAGTTGGAGAGACAGGTGGTCCATAGGGTGGAACCACCAATGGGTGGAGGAGGGATGCTAATGGGTACAGGGTTTTCTTGGGGATGATGGAAGGGTTCTAAAATCAGATTGGTTGCACAATTCTGTGACTATATGGCAAAACACTAAATTGGTGCTTTAAACAGGCGAATGTTATGGTATATGAATTATGTCTTATTACAGCTGCTCCAAAAAACGGGAAAATTGGAGTAGCTGGTCCCGGGGCACTCCCACCTCTCTGGGTTTTGCATTCTCACAGCATCACAAGTGGTCTGTTTGATAGTGAGAACAACTTCCCTTGGTTTGTTGGGGGGGTGTCGTAAGGGCAGGGAGGCACAGACCTTACAGCCAGCTTGGGCCCTGCGGATGAGGGATCGTGCCTTTACCTTCCCAGGTGTGTTCATCACCCATGGAGACGTCGGGGTTGGGACCATCGTGGGCTCTGCTGTGTTCAACATCCTGTGTATAATCGGAGTTTGTGGGATATTTGCGGGTCAGGTCAGTGGTTTCTCTCCCCTTATGAAGTGACATAAGGGACAGCCGTGGTGAAACGCAAAGCCCAGCCTTAGCCATGCCCCTAACTCCCTGAGGTTTTGAGCCAGTCAGTTTCCCCCTTCAGCCCATGTCCTCGTGTGTAACTGTGGTGACTGACATTTCTCCGCCTTCCATGATCTGTGGGTCTGACAGCAGGAAGAGCATCAGCTTTCTTGTCCAGTCCAAGGGTGAGCGTTCATTCACCAGCAATAAATGTTTAAGAGGTAACCTTGACTCTGAGTTAGATTCTGGAAATGTTTGGGGTCTGCTTTTGCCCTCCCAACAGGGAGCATATAACTGGTCTGTCAGTGATACCCCATCAGCATCTTTCTGGTCCTCAGGGCCAGGGCAGGTGGCTATCAGACTTGACCTCAGAATATCGGGCTCGTGGATAGGCCCTGCCTGGCCGAGGGAGGTAGAGAAGGACACCCAGTCACCACCAGAAGGTTCTAGCATCGGGGGGAAGAGTGCCTCTGGCCTCAGCCTTGACTCAGGGCCTTTGCTGTGACACATGTGATGTTGTCACCTTGGAGGAGCGGAGGGCAGCTCTGCCATCCCTTATGAACACTCCACAGTTTTGTTCTGTTCCCCAAATATAAGAAGAGCACAGGGTGGCCCTGAGCAGCCAGGCTGATATGTTTCTGGTGGCACAGTTAAGAAGAGTTCCACAGGCATGTCCCTGTACCCAGGTGTCTGGGGATAGTGGGGAAACCCCCCAGCGGCTGTGCCCACCCCCGTCTCCCCAGCCAATAGCAGCTGACGGCCCTTTGCTCGCAGGTGGTCCGTCTGACGTGGTGGGCCGTGTGCCGAGACTCCGTGTACTACACCCTCTCCGTCATCGTGCTCATCGCTGTGAGTTCCCCTCCTGCTCCTGAAGTCACAGGATCCTGCCTATCTTTGTCCCTGGCCCTATAACCAGAGAACCGATAGCACCCTAGCCGTGGGGTGTGCTGGCCACTCTCTGTGGTCACACTGACCAGTCCCCTCACCACTGTTCTCCTCTTTCCTGAAATCTCATACCTGACATCTTGGTTATAGAGCAAATCCAGGGGCCATCTTGGAGGCAAAAGGCCTTGAAAAAGCCAGAGCACATGTTGCATGGTCCGTGCAGTTATGCTCAAGCGTGTTGCTCATCAGAGGCCCCTCAGATCCTCACTTAGAGCCCGTTTACTAAGGAGCGGGAGTTCCAGGTTTCACCGCCCCCTGCAGAGCAGGAAAGAGACAGGCCAGATGGGAGGCAGCAGGGTTGGCAGCTGGGGGTGGGGTGGGGGTGAAACAAAGGCAGAGGAGCCGAAACAGGGATCCCTACAGCTTGTTAGTGAGTGTGTGAGGGGATNTCATCGCTGTGAGTTCCCCTCCTGCTCCTGAAGTCACAGGATCCTGCCTATCTTTGTCCCTGGCCCTATAACCAGAGAACCGATAGCACCCTAGCCGTGGGGTGTGCTGGCCACTCTCTGTGGTCACACTGACCAGTCCCCTCACCACTGTTCTCCTCTTTCCTGAAATCTCATACCTGACATCTTGGTTATAGAGCAAATCCAGGGACCATCTTGGAGGCAAAAGGCCTTGAAAAAGCCAGAGCACATGTTGCATGGTCCGTGCAGTTATGCTCAAGCATGTTGCTCATCAGAGGCCCCTCAGATCTTACTTAGAGCCCGTTTACTAAGGAGCGGGAGTTCCAGGTTTCACCGCCCCCTGCAGAGCAGGAAAGAGAGAGGCCAGATGGGAGGCAGCAGGGTTGGCAGCTGGGGGTGGGGTGGGGGTGAAACAAAGGCAGAGGAGCCGAAACAGGGATCCCTACAGCTTGTTAGTGAGTGTGTGAGGGGATCCCTGTGGGCCCCCGAGGAAGGGGATGACATCATGGCAGATGACAGTGCAGCACACGACACAGGCTAACTGCCAAGAAGCGTGTCATCCACAGGGAAGCAGTTTCAATCGCAAAGGAGCTTTAAAGTGGTGGCATGAGGGCTGGTCATATTCCAGGAGGGCCGTGGCATGCCCAGATTTTAGGAATGTGCCCTAGAGTGACAGTTCTCAGCCTTATGTGATCTAGCACCAACTATATATGACTATCAGTTCTCTACTTCTGTGTAACAAATTCCCCCCAAAACTCAGTCGCTTAAGACAACAAATATTTATTACTCCCATTTTCTAAGGCTCAAAATCTGGGAGTGGCTTAGCGAGTCCTCTGGCTCAGGGTCTCTCACAGGTGTCACAGGTGAGGGCTCCCTGGGCCAGGATCCACTTTCAGCATCGCGGCTGGTGGCCGCCTCAGGTCCACCCTCACGGGCTGTTCCGTGGTGCGGCTCACGACATGGCTGCACGGGAGAGAATGTGCCAAGATGGAAGCCACGGTCTGTTGGTAGCCTAATCTTGGAAGTGACAGAGCTCATTATATTTTCCTTATTCTGTTTGTTAGGAGCTGAGTCCGTAGGTCCAGGCCACATATATCAGGGGAGCATGACTGTCAGGCAGTGGGATCACTGGGGCCATCTGACAGGCTGCCAGTCACACCCCCAAAAATGGAAGCTGTAGATAAAATAATTGACCTATCCACAATTTCAAAAAATCAACATCATGCTCAAAATATACCATAAAAGACAAGTGAAAGTAATTTATAACAAAAGAATACATCTTTTAGTGTGTAAAGGTTTCGGCATGAAGATGCTAGAACACCCAGATGCGGTGTGTTGCCCCCATAGGGAAAATCCCCGAGCCTGACGACTACCAGCTCAGACTGAGGCCGGGGTGCTGGGCTGACTGACACCTTAAACCCCATGAGTGGTGCCAGTACTGATGACATGGCTTTCCAAAATTATGATAAAATTATGACCCCTGATAAAATCCTAAAAGAGCCAAATACAATTATCCCTCCTTTCGTGTGACAGTTACCTGACTAGAAAATGAAATATTTATTAAAACCATGGAAAAGTACTTTGATTTGGATAACAGAGTTAACTTCTTGGCTCAGGTTAGTTAGTTAGTTAGTTAGTTAGTTAGTTAGTTAGTTAGTTTGTTTATTTATGTCACTTGCCTGAATATTTAGCGGACGTTTAAGATGTGTGCCAAATGTGGAACTGCTTCTCTGATAGAACCATTTCACATGTTCCAGGCTGGATAACACCCTGGCTTTCACTGCATCTAAATGTCAGTAGCCCTCCATTGGGTTGTAAAAACTAAAAATATCGCCATAAATATCCCCCAAGTTCCCCAGGTGGTGATCGCAGCAACTCTGTTCTGTAAGTGAAGGCAGGCCCCTGCCAGGCTGGCCCCCGTAGCTGCTTGGACCATAATGAAACACAGGCCATTTCTTGGGGAGGCTCACATGACACTGGGCTGCAGCTTGCAGCATCTGCTGACCTAGGTTTCAACTAAGGCAAGGTCACCTTCTGTGCTTGAACCTGGACCTGGAGAGAGGAGCCCAGCTTTCTGTAGAGCACATAACAGCCAAGATGTGCGTGCTTTGGGGGCTTAGTGGTCTGCATGTGTTTTCTGGAATAAATATGTCTCCCCACCCTTTGTTTCTTTTGCCTTCCAGTTCATATATGATGAAGAAATAGTGTGGTAAGTTGCTAAAGTTTGTTTCTCGTTTTTCCTTTTTTTGTTAATAACCTTGCTTGATGGATTCATCAAATCTTCTTTAAAATTATTTTTACAAACATAAGCTTATGAACGTGTGGAAGTAAGAAGGGTATCATTCTAAGCAGTCATGCCTTTATTTATCCTTTCAAAGTGACATAAATTGTTTCCCTTAATAGCCCCGTCCTGCCAGATATTAATAGCAAGATATATTATAAAGCTAAAATAGTGAAAATGGTATGGTGTTTTGCATAGGGATGACCAGATGGACTATGGAACCAAGAATCTAATCATGGGCCCATTTCCGGGCTGGGGATATGACAGGTATTGTGACAAGGCAGTGAGTTAGGGAGGGGGTCTCAGATACTGCTGGGACAACTGGGAGTCCATATAGAACAAGATCACATCAGCTATCTCCCTCGCGCCTTATACAAGAATAAATTCCAGCTGAATTAAAGATCTCTGTAAAAAGCAAAATTAAAATAATATAGAATAAAACACAGGGACTCATCTGCACGGCATTGAGGTAGGAAAGGATTCCTGAGCTAAGACATACACAGCACAGACTCTAAAGAAAAGGTTGATGTTTTTATTCTATAGGACATTCCTGTCTCTTGCATTCATATGCCATAAAAATGTTCTCTTCATGATAGTGAAACAGAATCTAACCCCATGTGTGACTATTTATGGGAATGTATTCAGGAGGCCTGACATGAGCAGTTGTGTGCTTCAGGCCCCCGCCGGGCCCCTAACCTGCGTTGCCAGATGGAGTTGGATGGGAGGGTGCTCAGATCATCTTCAAGTCTCTCTGTGGCTTTGCTGGTCCTTGGGCTCTTGTCAGCAGAGGAGGAGCTTCCCAAATAACTATAGCCCATACCGGGCACATTGAAAGCCTTTAGTACACATTTGTCAGATGAGTGAACAAATGAAATCCGCGTGGTTCCTCAGAGGTGTGTGGTCAGAGCTACAAAAACCCCACCGTGCGTAGGGTTGGGCGTTGCATCTGCAAGACAGCAGTAATGGTGTTGTCACAGAAAGACCCCCGTCCCACCCTGCCCAGTAGGTTCAGCCCAGGAGGTCCTGTGCCCCTTCTTGGGGCAGTTTTCAGGCCCCTTCCCCCTGCACCCACAGCTTGTCTGCTCCTTGGCAATCCTCAGGTGACCATGGGGCCTCTGATTGTCAGGCCTACATGACTCTAGGCCACTCCTCGCCTCCCTGAGTCCTGGGATGTGGTGGCTCTGGCCCCTTTCTTTTTCTAGGTAGCTGGAAGAACTCCACCTGAGTCCTGCAGAACCCCTGTAGTTGAGAAGACCGCACCCTCAGCCTTCTGTCTCTGTCACCAAGAGGGCTTTAGTTTTCAGGACAGTCACGGGCTGGGGTGGTTCGCCTGCAGGCCCGGGTTCTGGGTCCTGGGTCCTGGGTCCTGGGCCAGGCTCTGGGGACGGGAAGGTCAGAGCACATCCCTTTCTGCTCCACTCTCCATACCGGTCACCCCCGCCGCCCTCGCTCTAACCACAGTCTGCTTTCTCTCTTCGAGGTGGGAAGGCCTGGTGCTCATCATCTTGTACGTGTTTTACATTCTGATCATGAAGTAAGTGCCCTTTCTCTTCTTCTGGGTGGTGTGACTCCTCAATTCACATCCTGCTGTAGCTTTCTGTTAGAGCAGGGAGCAAACTTCCACCAGCCCTTTCAGTCACTTTTGGCCAGCCCCAGCTCTCCAGGGGACACTCCACCGTGGGCGGCCAGAGTAGGGGAGAGATGTTCAGACACTGTTTTGGGGTGCTGTCTATACCTGGCCAGGGGGGTCAGGGTTGGTGGGTGGAGGATGAGGCTGCCCCCAAAATGAATAGCAAGCAAGGACCTTTCTCCCATCTACCCCATGCTTCTCCATGCCCGGGGTGACCACTCTTTTTTGCTGTCTATATAAATATGATAATTTCATACCACTCTTTAAAAGGGCCCAGCAGTCTCACTTCTGCTCCAGGCTTCATAAAAAGCTTCCTTTCGGGGCAGCTGCCTTGCACGACTGCAGGGGGCGCCACTCATAGTTCCGAAGATGCAGACACTGGGTCTGGGACTGTGCACCTTTGGGGCCCTCTGGAAGCTGCACAGGTCCGAATCATCTCAAAACTCCCCATGAGATGTATTACTCAGCCATAGAAAAGAAAGGAGATTCTGTCACGTGCTACAGCATGGGTGAACCTTGAAACATTACGCTGAGTGAAATACGCCAGTCACAAAAGGACAAATATTGTCTGTCTACTTACATGAGGTATCTAGGTCAAGTTCCTAGAGGCAAAAAGCAAATTAGAGATTACCTGGTGCTTGGAGGGAGCAATTAATAATTCATTGATTCATGGGCACAGAGTTCTGTTTGGGAGGCTGAAAAAGTTTTGGAAATAGATAGTGATGACGGTTGCCCAGCCTTGTAAATGTAATTAATGCCACTGACTTGTGCACTTCAAAATGGAAAATAGAGTAGCAAATTTTGTTGTATATGTTTTTCCACATAAAAAAAACAATAAGGAAAAAGTACCCATAAGCTGAGCCATATTCAGGTTTTATTTTCTTCATGCCTCTACAGGTAATTAAAAGGAACACCAACACTGAGTTTTATGAGGTTCTGAATTATAATATTTTATAAAAATGCAAGATAAACTGTCTAACTGCAGAAGAATTGTCCTTAGAAGAGCTCCCTGAGGGCCGGCTGAGTGGCTCAGTCGGTTAAGAGCTCACTCAAGAGTTTGAGCTCTCAGCAACAGTGGTTCGAGTCCCGGCCCGAGCTGAGCAGCTGCTGAGCTGCCAACAGGTGGCAGGATGGCTCAGCTAAAAAAAACCCAAAAAGATCTCCCTGAGTGCCTTTTAGTGAGGTGGGAAGCCTGGGGTCTGAGATGGAGAAAGTTTCTTCTCCGTGGGGTGGAGGTGCTGGGCCAGTGGAGCTGGGAGGGCCCCCAAGACACTCAGCTGTGGGAAAGGACAGGCCAGGCAACGCCTCCTTCGAGCCTGTCCCCGAGGCTGGGCTGAACTATTATTAGGACAGCCTTGTGATGTGCAGTAGGTAAGTAGGCATCGGTCATTTTCTAGGACGGCAGGGTTTCTATGTCTCCAGGAAGCCCACTAACAGCCCAGTAGGAGCAGGCCCCTCAGACTGCACGTTGCTCTACAGTTCCTTTCAGGGAATTCTGTCAGCTGGTGGAAAAGCTTTGGCTCCCCAGGTCCCTCCCTGCAGGACACTCCCAGGGCCACCTGACCGTGTGCAGGAGTGTGAGGGGCCGGGGAGACCCCAGCACTCTCCCCTGTCAGGCCTCTCCCACAGCTCTGACCTCCTGCCTTAACTTCCAGGTACAATGTGAAGATACAGGCCTTTTTCACAATCAAACAAAAGACCATTGCAAATGGCAACACGGTCAACAGTGAGCTGGAAGATGGTAATGATTACTGTGATAGTAGCTCTGATGACCCTTCCATGCCATTGCTGGGGCGAGGTAAGGCTGAGCAGACAGGAGTGGCCGAACCATGTGGTTGAAACCACTCTCCCCTTCTCTGTCCTGCACACATACACACACTCCCTCTAAATTGTCACTCTCTTACCTTTGGTCGCAGGACCCTAAATGAGGAGGCAGAGTGAGTGTTTATGTTGCTCAGATCGGCATTTGCTTAGGCGGGAAAAAGATGAAATAAAAATCAACAGCCTCACCCCTGGGGATTCCCCCAGCTGCTTGAGGAAGGTTCAAGGCCTGCCTGGCTTTTCTGAGATGCAGTGGATTACATCCCTATCCCATGTAAGAGGCCAGTGACAAGAAGCTGAGGACTTGGGGTCACAGAGCAGGCCTGGGTCTCCCTGTGGTTTCTCAAATGCCAGGCCCACTTCTGGAGAATTCTGTTCTGAAGAGACCTCTGGCTCATTGCCCAGAGGAACAGGAAGGCCAGGAAAGGTGAGCCCGGAGCTGAGCAGGAATTCTCACACCCGCCCCCGAGAGCCCTGCTGGGAGCCCCTTCCCCACGGGGCTGTAGCCTGGCCTCAGCTTCTCTTTGGCCTGGTGTGGGGGTTTTGGCCTCCAGAGCCAGCCTGTCATCTCTGCCAAGTTGCCCAAATCATCTAGGCCTGACCGGCTGCTGCTTACGGAACCTTGTCTTAATCCAGCCAGTTACCAGGTGATTCCCTCTGTGAGGCAGCTGCCAGGAAGGTGAGCGAATTCACCCTCTTCCCCACCCGAGACCCGTATTGAGGCCTGAGTGGGTTTCTGTAAGGAGGACCTGGAAAAACAGGGCTTAAGCCACATCCCTGAGCTCCACCCACAGTGTTGATCAAGGTGAGAGCCAGGGACTGGCCACCTGAGGGTTCTTTCTCCCTTGTTCTCCATGGCCCTGGGCAAGTCGGCCTTTTTCAAGGCAACTTAATTCCTTTGTCATGTCAACGGGTGAAGCCATGTGGCCTCAGAGGAGGCTATTTGCCAAAATCTACATTCCTGGGCCCCTTGCCCAGTCCTTTCTCTGGGTTAGATCAGGCTAGAGGTTCCCTTCCACATGTGTTTTAGGCAAGTGTGTTCTGTCTCATCCCAGGTTGTAAGGGATGGCCAGAGTGAGGGATGAATCTCTTCCGATGGAAGGAAGAAGCCTGCTGGGTGAGGGCTGCAGGTGCGGCCACGGCCATGGCCTGGCTGCCAGAGACCCAGCCGTGAGAGACAGAGAAAGGGGGTGGCCTGCAGAGCCTGGGGCTGTGCCTGGGTCCTGGCTGTTACATGCCTAGCAGGCTACCCCAGGGGAGAGCCCGTTTCTAGAACAACCTCCTCAGAAGGGGAGGGAACGCTGTGGCGGCTGTTTTGGAGTTTCGTTCCACAGACACAACGTCGCCAAGGTCCCTACTGCGTGTCCCCACCGTCTCGCAGGACAGGCTGATTCCTGCCCTGTCTCATACAGATATTAGTGCTCCAGGGTCTCTGGGCCTTCAGGGCAAAGAAAGAGATTCCGAGTGGTGAGTGATTCAGGCCGGAGGAAAGTGCCCGCTTTCTCCGGTGCCAGCCCCAGGAGCTACCCATATGGGTGACGGAGGAGGCCGTCCCCAGTGCCCTGACATGGCGGGGTTTCAGCCACTTTCCTTTCCAGAGAAGTCAGGCTGCCCTGAGGCCGCTGCCCGCTGGGGCCTTTTCTGGAGCTCTCCGTGGCACTGCCCCCATCACTTTTGTACCCGTGACAATAGGACTGCCCCACAAGTTTATGCTTTCCCCCAAATCTCTAAGTCCAGGACAATTTCTAAAAAAATTTAATTCTAAAAAACATTAAACACAGGACTGTTCTCCAAGTGCAGGGAGAGGAGGAAGCTAGGCCTCCTCCTGGCTTTATCAGGGTGGATACCTTTAGGTAAAGGCCACGGAGGAAAAGGCCTCGGGGTGCAGGCCTGGGATTGGAGAGGTAGGAGGCCCAGAGGTGTAGCCTTAGGAATTTTTAGTCCCAACAGGTGAATGCCCTTCCCTTCCAGAGGGTCGTATGGGTGTCGCTGCAGGGCGCTGTCCCCTAGAAGTAGATTGACCGAGGCAGGAGACGGAGCTCCCAGGCGTACCCCAGGGCGACTGAGAAGAAAGGGGCTTCGGGAGTTCACGTTTCTAATAGTGTTGCCACCGAATCTCTCACTCAGGTCCCCACCTCACCACCCGACCTCAGGAAGTCAGACTGCTGGCTGGTAGATTCTTTCAAGAATACACACACACCCGCCCCCCC